TCATCAGTCAACCCAGTATCTCTAGACTTTAGCAATGAGGAGGGCCGACAATCACCAGCTACAAGATGTTACAGAGGTCAAACTAAAAGCACTTCGGTCGGCTCTGAAGAGTATGTCAGCTCAAAAACAAGCAGCAATCATTTGGCTACAATCGCTCCTAATTACAGCCTCAGCGGTGTGGCTCTCAGCGAAAGGGATGGACATCTCCACAACCTGCCAACGCTGCAAACGGGGGTGGGAAAATCAAGCTCATTTATGGTTATACTGCCCGTTGGTTGATGAGCTGTTGGAATGGTGGAAGAAATATTGGGCACAAGTATATGGAGATGATCTGCCATGGATAGACTCTTGGTGGCTAACAGACCTTCTCCAACCGAGTATAAGTTTCCAAGCGGGAATTGGCTATGTTGCTCTCTGCTGCAGAGGGGCGCTCCTGTAAGTCATATGGACAGCTAGGAACGCAAAGGTTTTCAAAGGAGAGACCTTCTCTATCCCTCAACAGAAAGCGATGATCAGAAACAAACTCCGGTTATCGATCATGGCAGACTGGACCCAACACTGTACTTCACGATCAAGAAATCTGACCTGGTTCATAAGGACCTAGGGATCAGAGAAGAAGTGGGCAGCTGTCAGGCTTGATGGAACTATGACTCTCTCGCCTTGGCTCACAAGCCGAGACGACTGACAGCAGACTCTTGAGAAACCTCACCGACGGGAATTGGTCGTGCTTAGACCCTCCCACTAGGTGCTATCATTTTTAACATGGATTATTAGTATTAGAATCCGCTCTTTTTGGATTTCTTTCTTAATCAGCTTTCTTAGATTTTTTTAATCAGCCACGGTATAATTTAGTAGCTGTAGTTTTACTCATCAGTTGTTTTAGTAGGGCTTCAAGCTTTGAACTTTTACTGATTTTTGCTCTCTGAGATGGTATGGGACGCTGAACCTTTCTTCTGCTTAGCTCTACTTTTCTGTGCTTCAAAGATCAAATTTTTTGGAAAGCAATGTGTTTTATAGGGACGCTGGACCCGGTTTCCAGCAGGAGGACGATACTAAAAGCTATTTGGCTGAGGCTGCCAGGATAACTCCGGGTCGAATTGGGAGGTCCCCGGCCTCGTCCCTTGAATTTGCAATATATTGACGTCTTTACAAAAAAAAAAAAAAAAAAAAAAAAAAAAACACAACGTAAAACAAAACTCCATTAATAGGCCCAGTAGCTTTAAAAATCCGGGGGCCAAGTCCCACTAGCAGCGTTGAGCTAAGTCCATGATTGAATCTGGACGTGTTTATGGAGACGTGCAGTTCAGGAAATTCAACAGCCTTTCTCCACATCTCAGCAAAAGCGTCCACATTCAGGTGTTGAGGTAATTCAACGCTGCTAGTGGGACTTGGGGAGGGGGGGATGGGGGTCCCACTGAGGAGAGCAAAAACAAAAGGAAAAGAAAAAAAATTGGCAGTTGTCCATCGCAAAAGGGGTCCACTTAAAATAAATAAATTAAATAGAAGCCTTAGGGGTCCACTAGCAGCTCTGAGTTTACTCAACGCCTGATAAGGATGTGTTTGTGGAGATGTTCAGAAATTGCGCTGAGTTTTCTCAACCGCACATCTCCACAAAAAGCGTCCAGGATAAGGTGTCGACGAAACTCAACCCTGCTAGTGGGACTTGGCCCCAGTTCGATTCCACCCTCTCCTGTGTTTTTACTTTTCTCGTTTTTTTTTTTAATTTTATTTTACTGTTTTAATTATAACTTTATTTTGTATATATATCATGAAACAGGGTATATATATATATATAGTTCTCGGTGCAAGGCTGGCCAGCTCAGCAGCTACTCGGGGCACAGGGGTGGGCTGTGTGCACACCTTTAGTCACGCACGCCAAACCGGATTGCTCAGGGGGGCTGACGTCAAGTGACATTCAAGGGGAATCGGGAAAGGGGTAGATTCCAGGTGATAAGTTTGAGTAAGATCCCATGCTGCAAACAGACCTAAACAAATGATGTTATTTTTATTTTGATTCGTTAGATGTAAACTGCCATTGACATCTGACAGACAACATAGTATAAAACTGATTTTGTTCATTGTGCTTTCCGTTTGCGAGCTAGTCAAAGTAGAATAGTATCATTTGTAGGAATCTGAACTTACCTGTTGGACCCAAATGTATATACTCTTTGACGAGGACACCGATCAACTAGTTTAGTTGTAAGTCGGTCTGTGCATTACGCTGCGGTAAGCATCAAAGAGTGTCTTGGTAAAATTGTGTACAGTTATGTAGCTTATGAGCGATAGGGAGGACACTAGAGAGGACGACCGGATCTTGCGATCGCCTAGACGCCCGATTGCCCATTTGGCATTAGGACCAGAGGGTGACAAATACCTGTTCCGCCAGCGTAGTGAGAGGCAGCAGCAACAGAGGAGAGCTAGAGCAACAGAGGTCAGCAGGGCGTTCATAAGTGAAGCCGCAATTTCAACGGCCATGGCCACTTCGGCGCAGCAGAGTTCCCAGGCTGGTAGTTCAGGTTTTGTAGGGTCAACGGTCACGCAGACCGTGAGTCAGCCCACTGGCGTTATCGCAAGCTAGGCAATAATGTTGGCTTCCGATGAGATCACCATACAACAGGCAGCACTGCAGGAGGCACAACTATAGAAGGCTATAGGAGAGATAAAAGCGGAGAAGGAAAAAATGATTAGGAGAAGAGTCAGGATGCAGCAGAGGCAAGCGGACGTTAGCGAGTTAGAGGAGATGGACCTGACGCACATGAGTGATGATGTGAGGACCATACGGTCTGTCTGCTAAATGTAGTTGAAATGCAGGATCACCAGATGACTCTCCTTCAAGACATTCGACAGAGTCTAGCCTTATTGGTTGGGCGAGCGCAAGCAACACCATCGATGTTCGGGCCTGGTGCCTGGTCCGTTGTGAAGCCTCCTCCTTTTGTCCAGACCATTTCCCTGGGAATGTCGTTAGAACTTAGCAGGAGGGTTCTCAACAGGTCCTAGTTTGCAGGTTCCTGTACAGACAGTGTTCTCCCAAACTCCGTCTCAGGTTGCCGTTAGCGGGCAGCCTGCTATCTCGCAGTCTGCACAGTTGCAGGGTACACAGCCCAACAGTCAGTGCAGCAACCTGCACCACAGGCTCCACAGCCCAGGGTGATGCAGGGACCGGGACAAACTCAGTGGGTACCAAAGACGACCATCGCCGCTCCTAAGCCTTTCACAGGGGATAAGAGGGGCAAAGACCTCGACACTTGGTTGAGGTCAGTGTCGGTCTACGTAAAGTGTAAACTTACCTTGCTGCATGAAGAAGTGTTTGTGGTTGCATCCTACCTAGAGGGTAGTGTGGCAAGATGGTTGAGTGGTTTAGTGCAGTTACAGGGGTACGGTCATGACTTCCGCGCTTGGGAAGCCCACCAGAAACTGGATGACTTTCTCAAGATGGTGGAAGACAGGTGACATGATCCTCATGAGGCCCAAAAGACCACTGACGCGATCCTGACACTGCATACAACGCAGTTCAAGTCAGTAAGGGAGACCATTGATGCTGTAGAGCGTTTGATCTGTGTCCCTGGGGTGCGCTATGACCCCCATGTCTTACTCACCTCCTACCTGAGATGCTTTCCCATGCCTCTCAGGAATCAGTTGGCAGGTAAGGCCAACATCAATATGCACAACTTCCCCTCGTTCAGCAAGAAGGTCCTAGACCTAGAGGCAAAGATAGGGCATGGACATAACCCCACGACGGATGGTAGGAAGAAGACACTGCCTCCCAACTGGAAGGCGAAGGGTCGCATTATGTTCGTCGACAACGATGGTTCAACCATCGAGTTAGACGACAACTTCCAGGAGGGAGTTGGTTCAGAGGCAGGTAGCATAGTAGAAGCTTCAAAGGGTGGAGTAGTCGTTGTCGTAGCACAGAAAGGTAAGGCGACCGGTAGACGCCGTGGAGTTTCCCGGTCAAGGAGTCAAGTTGACCCCAATGCTCCTCCATGGGAGAAAGCGGGTCTCGGTGAGGATGTGTAAAGAGATCGGTACACGCGGGAAACTTGTGTCCATTGTGGCCAATATGGCCATAACCAATTCAAGTGCCGGAACAAGAAGGTGACTGAGAAGATCCCGCCTACAATGGGGCAGGCGTTGGGATCCTCCATTCCTGTTGGTAGCAATGTGGCTAGTACTTCTGGCACTGCTCCGGGAAACACGTCGGGCCAGTAGGAATAGTAGTTGTTCCTGCTAAGGTCAAGGTGGTGGACACACCCTCACCGTCTCGAGAGATGGCCCAAGCTACTGACTCCATCGCCGTCCCGCAAACACGTTCAGACCAATCGAGCCTCTATTCGATGAATGTGTTTGAGTCCTTAGAGGAGCTAGAGGAGGAGTGGTCTAGATCAGACCCGCTAGCTTCTTGGACGACATTAGTCAAAGCCCCTAAGAGTGAGATGTTCGTCAGCGAGGTGGTCATTAGCGACCGCAAGGCTGGGGCCTATTATGACACTTGCTCGACTAGAAACTTCATCAGTCGCGCGTGCATTGAGAGGTTGCACTTACAGGGGCAAGTGCAACGCCTGAGTAGAGATGTGGTGTCGACCTTTGCCAACAAACAACGCATGGTAGTTAATGACTACCTTCAGGACGTTGAGTGTTATTTCCCGTATGTGGGAGGGGAATTGAGACATCGCGTCTCGTTCCTAGTGAGCGATGAACTCCCCATGGATATGTTGTTAGGTATGTACTACCTCTCTGTGGCAGAACCCCAGTTTGACTGGGACCAAAAAGTGCTTAAACACAGTTTGCCAGGTGGAAGGACCACTTGATTATGTAAGTTCAAAGCTAGTAGTCTGATTGAGTCCCACGGATGCATGTGTGCGGCCGCGTTCTATAATTATTTTAAGCCAAATCAGGAGGGTATGTATCTAGTTTATGTCTCTCCTGCAGGCGAGCCGGTGAAAATCCCGCCGGAGATAGAGGGAGTAGTTACTAAATACCCTAATCTATTTGAAGAGCCGACAAGGGTTGTTGAGAGGGAGGTCGTCCACGCGATAGAGATTATCCCAGGGTCAAGCATCCCAAAAGGGTATGATCTATCGGATGTCTCCAGGCAAGCTTGACGAGCTTCGCCGGCAACATCGATGTGCATTGACTATAGGGGCCTCAATGCCATCACTGTCAAGAACCAAGAGCCCCTACCGTGCATCCATGACTTGCTAGATAAAGTGCAAGGGTGTCGGTACTTCAGTAAGATAGATCTGAAGTCCGGGTACCATCCGATTGCAATTTGGTCTGAGGATCAACACAAAACCGCATTTCAGACCAGGTACGGTCTATACGAGTTTGTGGTGATGCATTTTGGCCTGTGCAATGCTCCTGGCACCTTTCAACACGCTATGAATCAGATATTGCATGACTACTTGGATAAGTTTGTCATCGTGTACCTCGATGACATACTTATTTTTAGTAAGACTGTCGAGGAGCACGTTGTGCATTTGGACAAAGTCCTTAACCTTCTTCGACAGCACAAGTTCAAGATCAACGGTGAGAAGTGCGAGTTCGGCCGCACCCGTGACTTGTATTTGAGTCATGAGATTTCCGCGGAGGGATTGAAGCCCGATGACGCGAAGGTGGCCAACATTCGTGACTGGCCGTGTCCTCAATATGTGACTGAGATGAGGTCTTTCTTAGGGATGACCGGCTACTATCGCAACTTCGTGAAGAACTATAGCATACTTGCCGCCCCTTTGACTGACCTGACACGCCTTGACACCCCATGGGAGTGGACAGACAGATGCGAGGCTGCTTTCAGACATCTGAAGCATGCGTTGACAAATCATGAGGTCTTGAAACTTCCTGATGCTGACAAGCCATTTATAGTAACTACGGATGCTAGTCAGTTTGACATAGGCGCCGTGCTTGCACAACAGGAGGGAAAGAAGTTGAGGCTAGTGGAGTACATGTCCAAGAAAATGCCGTCTCAGAAGTTGGCCAAGTCCACCTATGAGAAGGAACTCTATGTGGTTTACAAGGCTCCGACCCATTGGAGGCACTATCTCCTTGGGAGGTTCTTCATCCTCAGGACTGATCATCAGACCCTGAAATGGATGAGAACTCAGTCGGTGTTCTCTGACGCTCTGAAGCGTTGGATCGAAGTCATTGAGCAGTATGGCTTTGACCCGCAGTATCTGAAAGGGGAGTACAATAAGGTTGGTGATGCCTTGTCGCGTAGACCTGATTTCTCAGGTGCGCTGATTACTGAGTTCAATCTTACGGACGATGTTACTCGCTCTTTGGTGGAAGCCTATCACGAGGACCAGTTCCTGTCTGAGATCATACGCAGACTTGAGGTGAAGAACAAGAAGACTTCTGTCGAGTTTGAGTTGGTCAACGACTTGCTGTTCCTTGAGAAGGCAGGGAATAAACGATTGTGTGTCCCAAATAGAGAGTCTTTGCGTAGTTTATTTTTAGGTGAGTATCATGATGTCACCGACCATTTTGGTTTCAAAAAGACTGCAGCCAACCTGCTGCAGCAGTTCTGGTGGCCCACGATGATGAGAGATGCTAAGCTGTACGTGTAGATTTGTCAGGTCTGTCAAAGAGACAAGCCCTGTACACAGGCACCTATTGGGCTCCTTAAGCCCCTTCCGATTCCGGAAAGGCCTGGCGAGAGTCTGTCCATGGACTTCATGGATACGATGGTAACCAGCAAGAGCGGAATCAGACACATCTTTGTTATCGTGGATAGGTTTAGTAAATACGCTAGGTTAGTTGCAATGCCGGAGACAACGAAGACGGAGCATGTGATTAAATTGTTCAAAGAGAACTGGGTTAGAGTTTTTGGATAGCCCAAGTCTATAGTCAGTGATCGTGATCTGTGATTCACAAGTGAACTGTGGAAAGCCACAGCTGCAGAACAGGGAACGCAGTTGCAGATGACATCAGGAAACCATCCCGAGGCGAATGGACAAGCAGAACATTGAATTGCGCGGTACAACACCTGCTGAGGCATTACAACAAGCCGAATCAGGTAGACTGGGATGAGAAACTTGCTCTCATTGCCAGCCTGTACAACAACGCGGTCCACAACGCAACGGGCGTGAGCCTGAATAGTCTGCTATTAACCTTTAAGCCTAGACTGCCCTTGGACTTCTTACTACCTGAGAACCAGCCCCCTGCTGCACCAGGGACTTTAGAGTTTGCTTATCGATATGAGCAGCTAATGCAGCAGGTTGTTGAGCAGATGCACAAGACACATGTGGGGATGATAGAGTCGGAGAACAAACACCGCCGCCCATCCACGTTTCAGGTAGGAGAGAGAGCCTGGGTCAAGTCCTCAGAACGGGGACAGGAGCACGGGATCTCCCGCAAGCTCATGCCACAGTACTTTGGACCATGGGAGATTCTGGATGTTGTTGGGAATAAACCAGATGGGCCGTCTTATGTTGTTTGCATCCCTGGTCACTTACGTGCTTACCCTGTTTTCCACGCCTCAACCCTTGCACCTTTTAAAGAACCAGACCAGTTTCCATCTCCTCGCTCAATGCCGCCCCCAACCATCGATGGAGAGGTCGACATTGATGATATTGTTGACCACCGGGAGATGCCAGTTCCAAGACTAACAGGCAGAGGACGTCCTCCAAAACCGAAGTTGCAGTATCGTGTTCGGTTCAGACATCACACTGATTCAAAGGAGGACAAATGGTTCATAAGGGAGGAACTGATGCAGACCGCTCCACTGGTAGTGGCTCACTATGAGAAGTCTTTACGGAAAGGAAAGCGCCAGATTATCGAAGACTGAACGTCTCAGAGGAGTAGCAAAGTATGGAGGAGGGAATGTGAGGCACAAGGCCTCGATAAGCCCCACTGGGCCCTATTTGCAACAGCATCGGCCGGCCTGAGTGAAGGCATGCCCGACAGACCCTCAGAGGCCTAGTTTGGACTACTTCGCAACTGGGGAAATTCAGGCAGTTGCGCTGCGCCAGTTGGTTGGAAGCGCGTTGGAAGCGCCCAGGCCCTGGCTTGCTTTATCAAATGCATCTGAGTCAGGCCCTGGGCAAGATTCGCAACATAGGCCCAACTCAGATTGTGGGCAGTTGGGCATAGGTAACTGTCGGCAGCCCTGGGCCAATTCGTTTGGTCTGGGCCTCAGTCTACCGGGGCCTACCAGAAGCTTCTTGGGAAAGGCCCAGTGCAGCCTGGGACAGAATGCAGGCAGGCCACTTCCATATAGCAAAGGGCCTGCCTCCGCATTGGACATTCAGGCACTGGCTGCTTTGTGCGCAAGCGCTGCTGCGCTATCGCCTGCCAGGCTCACGCGCTCACGGGCGAGCTGGGAGGAGCAGGCAACCATAGCCCAGCTGCGCTGCTGTAAGCTGGATGGGGCGCAGGGTGGTCCTTGGGTGCAAGTGGCATCTGTGAGTTGGGAAACGAGGTTGTGAGTAATACGAGAGACGTACCTGGTGCTAGAAGCGACGGCATTGCCCGAGATCTGCTCGTACTTCGGTGAAGCTGTTGACGTCATCCGGCGGCATTGTAGAGTAGGCTAGATAGGATCTGCCATCTGTAGTCTGGGCGCCGAGCGCCAGATAGGATATCAACATTGGTTCTTCGTTGATGATGATGACGAGGCTATTTCAGCTTTGTCAATTATGAACTCTTGGTGTGTTCTTATTTGATGAAACTCGTGATGCAATTCTGCTGTTGGTTCGAGGTCACGACTATCTGGTCTTATGTGTATGAAGCTGTTTGATTTCTGAAGTTCGCTATCGCTCATCTTCCTTGCAATTGATTTATTGATTGATTGGCTGACTGATTGATTGGTTGATTGATTGATTGATTGATTGATTGATTGATTGATTGATTGGTGGAGGAGGGGTCGCACCCCCCGGCGCGCACACACACACACACACACACACACACACACACACACACACACACACACACAAACACACACACACATACGGGTCGAACCCGCTGTTTTTTTTTTTTGTCACTTTTTCTTTTTCTTGATTGATTGATTGATTGATTGATTGATTGATTGATTGATTGGTTGGTGGGGAAGGGGTCGCCCTTCCCCCCCTCATGCACACACACACACACACGGATCGATTTTTTTTTTTTTTTTTTTGATTGATTGATTGATTGGTTGGTGGGGAAGGGGTCGCTCTTCCCCCCCGCATGCACACACACACACACACACACACACACACACACACACACGGGTCGAACCCGCTTTTNTTTTTTGATTGATTGATTGATCGATTGATTGATTGATTGGTTGATTGGTTGATTGATTGATTGGTTGATTGGTTGATTGGTTGACTGGTGGGGAAGCGGTCCTCTCGCTCCGGCTTCCTCAATACTTTGGCCGCTGCTTTCTTGATCGTCTTGTATGCCGCCTATTCTCCCAGCCAATGAACTGCAAGAGAACCACTGTACAACTGTTACAAATCCCGCCGCCGAGGAAATCACCGAGGCTCTGCTCTGCCTGCCAGCGATAGGTGCCTTGTGTGTTTCCAGCGAGTTAGCCAGTTCACCACTCTTTCTTTTTCTTTTTCTTTTTTCCTTTTTTTTTTAAATTAAAGCGCAGGTTGTTGTAGAGGCTGGATTTCTGGGTGTGCCCACTGAGTTCATAGGGAATCGTTCCAACTTGAAGTATAGATTGTTCTGAAAAACTTCGTTATTTGAGAATGACACAGTGACTTGGGTGCCAAGGAATCTTTCCCATGTGTTTGTTAAGATTGCTCTCAGTCATCCAGTTTTTTTTTTTTTTTTTTTTTTTTAATTATTATTATTAAACTATACTCTTCTCTCAATTTTTCCTCACACTACCTACCTACCACTACTCCTACCTATAGGCATACGGGGAAACCCGTAAAAAAAAAAAAAAAGGATTGGTCCGCTTTATCCAGTTTATTTTTAGTTGAAACTTGAAACTCTTCCGGAAGGAAAATGATCGACTTAGAGGTGGACCCCGCAGGCAGCGGAAGAACGCCTGTGGGTCGTTTTTCTTCCGGGATGATGGGATCCCAGACCCCACCAGGCGGAAAAGAGTCGCGTGGAAAAGCGACGAAGGACTTTCCTCATCCACTTCCGGCTGGAAAGTGCCCACATTCCGCAAATTCGCCGGAAACTAAGATCTTGCATTCCTACACGCTAGTAACAGCATGTTGTCTGCCAATGTGGCCCCTTTCCAATCCTTCTGATTTGATCATTTCAGTCACTCTATTAAATGAATGAAGAATAAAAAAGAGGGGCTGAGGGGCATCCCTGACGGAGCGATCTAGTCAAGGTCTTTGGGGAACTCTGGGGATATTTGTCCGTTCACCGTAACAGTTACTGCGGCCGTTGCAGTAGAGTACATTGTTGTTACCCATGATCTGCCAAAACTTTCCCCAAGCCCCATCTGTTTTAGCGCCGCCATTGCAAACGTTAAGGCCCATCCAACTAATATGTCATACGGCTTTTCCATGTCCGATAGCAGTAGCGGCAACATCCCTGCGTTCTGCTGCAATGATCTATAGTGCCTGAATGGTGGTTGCAATACTATCCATTATCATGGATCTAGGTTTCACGAGTGCTTCCTGTTCGTTCCCCCACCAAGGAAAGGAGGTGCCAGGCCAATCTTATGGCAAGGGCCTTTGCAAGAATCAAAAAGCAATATTTTGTTTTGCAATTAACCCAATCATATATCACAAGCGCATCAAGCACTCACCCGGAAAATGGAGCAGCTCCTTTGTACCTACTAGGTCGTTCTTAAACCACCAGTACTTGGCGTGAGCAGCTGAATTTCCCATCTTTTAGCAGTGTACCCCTTTGTACCTAGGTCGTTCTTAAACCACCAATACTTGGCCCAGCTATCAATGTCGAGCCTGGGTGCCCCTGCACGCCAATTTTTGCCGAAACGTCGGGGTACGGTTTCAATTTTCTTTTGGCTGGCACTTCCAGCCATTGTGGTCCGGTACCCCGAAGCCCTAAAGGCGTGGCGCGCCGCTGCCGATAGCTGGGCCAAGTACTGGCGGTTTAATTTGGTAAACTGAGTTCCCAACTTGAAGTCCCTGTACCTGATACTACTAGTACCATAATCCAGCAACTTGCCTATTTTGGCTTAGTACTCGTACTAACTGTTTCCACGCCCGTCGCCCAAGGAATGGCATCGGTCAACATTGGCAGTCTCTCTCCAACTCTTCAAGGTCTCCCTAGTCCAGTCCTGAGTTGATGTTCCTTCGCATGTTGCACTAGTACCCTTTTTTTTTTCTTTTTTTTTTTTGGGACAAAAGCTCCGATCTCTTTGTGTGGAGCATCACGTGCTTAGAACCGGGCTCAGCGTCCCTTTGAAGTACAACTGAGAATATGTAACACATATGTTGCACTAGTATCCTGATCATTCCCTAAGTCGTTTACTCTCGCGGTCTCACCACTCCTATTTCTATCCATGATTTTCCGAACATACCCGGGGAGTGTTGGCCAGAAAAACTCCTGGCAGTGGCCCTCAGGATCAACTATCAAACTTTAAGGGGGTTTTCAAACAAAATCTGAGTCAACACTGAATCAGATTCCTTGGTAGTTGGATGACATTGCACTCTCAGTCAGTATGGAAAAAGTTATGTCATGCATACAAAATATTTGTCGGAAAATTTGACTTACGAGG